GTTGAGTAAAAGGTTTGGAATTCAGTTAGTGTAAAGTAATATAAGTAATTCCGTTTGGGTTACACACATAGCTTAATTTTTTTTGTAAAAAACTAACCAAAGAACGGCAGTGTGTACAAGCAGTAACTTTTGGTGTTTGCTGAGGTATATGTTGTAAGACAGTTTCAGAAAGTTTCATTTTAATTGTTCAAAATGAAGTGATAATTATTAAAGCTTGTTCAAAGTGACCCTCTGGACTCTATATTCTTACATTAATGACAGTGTGTCTTTCATGTAATAGAGTAATGTCGACTATAGTTGTTGCTTTTTAAAATTCACAGAAATTACAGGTTTTTTTATTTGAAGCTTTTTAAATTGACATGCTTTAAAACCAAAAGAAAGAAAAAGATGGCTACTGCCCCTCAGACCTACAGTATCTCAATTCAAAATTCAAAAGACTTTATTGTCATTGCACGGTCGTACATCGTACACTAGCACAACAAAATTGTAGCACAGTCATCCTCCTTGATGCCAAACATACAATTAACAAGATACAAGACACAAACCACAACACAAATTGAAATAAAAATAAGGGGATTCCAGGACCAAAGGCATTTAACGAAGTGGATATACTATACAAAAAAGATTAATTGTACCAATAATGTACCGATACATGCAGATAATATGCATATTTGGAGAAGTGCAAATTGTACAGAGTAAATACTATATACCGATAATGTACTGATATATCTGGATAATCTGGGTAATATACAAAGTGTTTGATTGCACTGAAAATGCCCGCAAGTGTTTATTGCACAGAAAGGTCAAGGACTGAAAGTCCCATAGTGTTATTGCAGCTGGAATGACACATGATTGAGTCAGATATTTACATTTGCATTTATCATTGCAATCGCCTTGTTGTAAAAACTCTCTCTCAGTCTGTTTGTCCGTGACCTCAGGACCCTGAGCCTTCTGCCTGAGGGCAGCGCCTCAAACAGCCCTGGATGTGTGCTGTCTCTGAGAATGCTGCGTGCCCCCCTGAGACAGCGGGTGTTGCAGAGGTCCTTCAGGGAGGGGAGGGGGCGGCCGATGATTCTTTGAGCGGTTTTAATGACCCTTTGCAGTGCACAGGAAGACGCTGCAAAAGGTCATCTCAACCCTAAACCTTCCTCCAAAAAATATGCTGTGTATTTCACCCAATCAAAATCACAAGTAGAGGACTTGGGCTTCTCTAACAAGTGAATACAAAATCACTGTTCAATGATCCGTATAGGAATTTACTCACAGGTATTGTTTAAAGACATCTGTTTCATCATCATGGGGAAAAAATGGGTCAATGACGAATGAATTTGCCAGGGTTTTAAAATAAAAGTAGCAGTCTGGTTGACTTTAATGTGATTTATATGGTTATGAGGACAGTTTTTTATCCCTTGCTTGATCTGATCAGTGTCAGAGATCTTTTGTTACTTGACATTACCAATATGTCCATTTTCTCTATATTGTTGCAGGGTATGGGGAGATCTATCCAGTTACCCTGCCTGGTAAGGTGGTATGCGTTTTATATGCCATGGTGGGCATCCCTCTTATGCTCCTGGTCATCCTCGATGTGGGAGACTTCCTTGCCATGCTAATGTCCAGAGCCTACGTACACATTCACAGTTGCTGCAAAATGCTCTTCTGCCACACCTGGTCACCACTGAAGTCTCGTAAGAGCGCAACGGAGGCCAAGAACTGGACCATGGATGACGGTACCTTCGTTTTTAGCCACGACGTTGTGATCCGTGAACCCCTTGACATCCGGCAGGTGCTGCGCAGCCAGGAAGACGTGCGACACAAGTCAATCCAGCTCCAAAACAACAAAGAGATCTTCGAGAAGATCCTCGCCAGAGACAATTTACTCAGAAAGAGCCCACTGCTCAGGACCCTCTCTTGTCCAGAGCTGAACCGACTGCCACCACCACCCAAAGGATATGTCATATGGGACTTTTCAGGGTTAGGGGATGGGATGGAAATGCTGGATGTACCCTTTGTGCTAATTCTTTTAATTGTGTTTGCCTACATTTTCTTTGTAGGTTTTATCCTGCCGATATGGGAAACTGAATTCAAGGGCTTTGACCCCTACTACTTTGTCTTCATCACTCTCACCACCATAGGTTTTGGCGACATTGTACCCAATCACCCCAAATACTTTATGGTTACCTCCCTCTTCCTCATTGCCGGGATGGCCATCATGTCCATGGCTTTTAAGCTGGGCCAAACACGAATCGTAAGCTGCTACCGCCAGTGCATCAAGTTCATCAGCAGGGGAAATGTGAAGACTTTCAGAAATAAAGAGAATGACTGAGTCATCATCAGAATATCTGCCTCGTGTCCACGAGTAGTACAGGCTCACAGTGCTGGCTTTGAAACTAAATGGGACTCTGTTCGAAGGTGTGCAGTGAATGAATTTGTTGTATTGGTTGTTTGACTTTAAGCATGAGCAAAATCTAAAATGTGCATGTGCCAAATGCTTTTGCCCAGTGAAGGAGGGTGATATTCAATAGGATTCCAATGAGAGAATCCTCAAACTCTGAATACTGTATCTACACAGAAACAGCATCATGCCAAGGAATCAGTTTAGTTGCGCTGGAGTAGTAAAAACTGTTAAAACTGCTATGACACAATAGTGTTTGCTTAGCAGTCAGAAACCTTGAACACTGTGCTGGGAAATTTTTAAAAATGCAGTTTCAGTTCAGTTTTCTGTGTTCTTTTAAAATCCACTTTATAACATGATGTCACATTAACTTGGCTCCCCACAGAGACAGGAAGTGCTACATTTTCTAAACTGTACCTTTGAGTAAATGCACAGAGGTCGGCAATGATGCATTTACTACACTGACTAAAAAACGTAAAGATAAAAGATAAAAAACCTTTTTTAACTAAGTGGTCAATACTAGAAGTGCCTGATACAAGTGACAAAAAAGTATGTGGAGTTGGAAGGCCGACCTTCATATATGTATTATGGGATACTTTTATGGGTCAGCCCTGAAAAACAATGATTTGCCCTAGTATAGTTGGGATGCAATGAAAGCATGACTTACTGATTTTTTAGATGTTCTCCTATCAACTTTTGAAAAAATGACTGAACTGTGAATTGTTTTCCAAAAGATAGGTGTGTCATGTATCAGACTCAGGTCTCTTGTGGCAGGTTCATTATTTGCAGAGAAGGGTCTGTCTCTCCAAGACAATGATTTCAGTTTGGTTGTTCTTAGTAATCTTAGTAACAGTATTTAAACTTATTTTAAGTGGGTTAACAATCCAGACTCGTGATTGTCAGTGACAGATCGTCTAGATCACAGCACATGCTCAGTGATCAGCTGACATCTATATCTTCGGCAAAGATAGTTAACAATTTACTTTACAGTGATTAGGTTTGTTAGTGGTTCGGGTTGCCAACTGTTACACATCCACCAAGTCAGCAGGGGTTCTAAATATATAAACAGCCTCAAACAACAAGAAATGAATGTTTACAAAGGTTTGAACATAAAACTGCATTTATGGTTAATGAATGAGCTTCTCATTGTGTTTATAGTAGAGGAGGCTATCAGGATTGTGTTGAGCAGCTTATACTTAAATTAGATTTCTTCCAACAAAGTAATATTTTGCTTTTATGTGTACATAAAGTATATGATGTCATATTCATATTGCACACCGCTGTCTTGTTATATTTCTCTGTAAACTATACAGTTTTGTAGAGTGGACCTGAGAGGGCAACAAACTGTAGCATAAAACATAAAAAACACAAAACATAAAAAAATATATACAAAAGCACATTCACAGCATTTAGAGGAAAAGCCAAAAAGATCTGCACCAGAATTATACAAACATAAAATAGACATAATTCACATATCATAAACATAATTCATATATTGAACCCCTCTTTTGGTCACTTGGGGGCAGTGGAAGCAAATCTGTTAACATAACAGTGATGATATAGATGTGCTCTAATAGCTGCTGATAGCACAACTCAGTGTAGCGCAGTGAACAGTTGCACAGTGAGAACAGTGAGGGTGAAACCAAACGTTTGAGTTGTTCATACATGTACAGATTTAAATAATGGTCCTTGAGAGGCTGTGGTGACCTCAGAGTAGTTTCTCAATATGTTATGGTTATCTAAATACCTCGTAAGTAACTAATTCGACAAATATTAAAATGATAGTATGTATAGAGTGGAAATAGGCAACAGACAAAAAGCAGGGGCATCCTTATCAGGCCTGCAAACTGGAGCTTAAATTGAGGAGAATGGAGGATATGTGGCCAACTAGGCCCCTGAGAGCAGGGCCAAACTTTGCATTGTGATGCAACACTTTTCTTGAGTCCCCACATTCAATATGCCACACAAAGCAGAAGTATGAGGACATGCACATAGCATTATATTTCAAAGTACACATGATCATATACATGATGAACACGTGTTGTACTCTTTTGTGAGTGACACATAATATTCTCTAAAATCAGACTTTTTTTGTTTTTGCAACTGTGTGGCCTATGGGCTGTTACTGAGCATGTCTCCAAATCTTGGTATCATGTGAAAAGATCTGTCTGATTTTAATAAAAGTCATTTAAATCTCTTGCATCTCAGTAAAGTTGGAGAGTCTATCTATCTATCTATCTATCTATCTATCTATCTATCTATCTATCTATCTATCCATCTATCCACCTGTCTGTCTGTCTGTCTGTCTTTCTGTCTATCATGATTCATAAAGGAAGGAGTTTGAAACAACCATGACTCCTCCCAGAGCCCATCCAAAGAAAGCAATCTGGGAGAAGGGCTGTGGTAAGAGGCCGTGAATCTGAAGGTCACACTAGCTGAGCTCTAGATCCTGAGTGGAGACTGGACCATTTTCATTGGAAACCTCCAGCAATAAGTCAAACTACCTGAGCTGCAAGATCTATGAGTTACTATGATATGATATATGAGAATGAGTATGGAATGTGAATATACTGTGCTTGAATAAAACACCAGCACCTTACAATTGTACCCAATACCTGAGTACTTAGTAAATAAGTATTTTCATTCATTGTGTCACCCACTTATTTAGATTTTGTTTTACTAAATTTAACCTGTTATGCTATTTAGCTGCTAACTCACAAGTGTTACATGCTGTCATGTGATAATATATGACACATATTGTAATAATTACTTTATTTATGAAGCACTTTTCAAAATCTAATTTACAAAGTGCTTTACAAGGGCATCAGAATAAAACAGACAGGTCATAAAACCATGAACACAGCAAAATTAAGGAAACAAAAATATTAAAAGACAAAATTAATTTAAAAGAACTCTTAATTAATTAATTAATTAATTTTTATTATAAAATTCAATTGGAGCTGTTCAGTGAAAGACTTGTTGCAGTAGTGATTACAGAGCACAAGATGGCGCTGCTGTAAAACCATGAAGTCACTGTCTGACTGGCAGGTCACAGTCTCCCTCTCTCTGCTTCAGTGTCACTGGCAGAGGAAGCATGTGCAGTTTGTAGTCGAAGCATTAAATAAGCTTTCAGAGGGAAAAAAATAAGTCACAAAGAAAACCTTGAAATCGAAGTGATGAAACTGAAATTCTCTCCCCTCATAAATATCTTCTCTTCCATGTGACTTTGTCATTTCCTGTCACCAGTAGCCAATCTGCTAGTTTCACAGGGCAATACTTTGCGCTGTAGAGGAGATGCCAGGTGAACGGATGCTTCACTGACACAGGGATGAAAAAACAGGTGCAGGTCTTTGGATCCATTGAGATACCATGAACCTGAACGAATGAGAGCTTCAAACTTTTGCTTTGTTTCACTATGTAATCAGTTTGACATCATCAAAAACTGTCAGGTCTCGCCCACTGCCCACAAGACGGTAATACATGGGATTAGCACAAGATAAACAGAGCAGGCCAAGAAACTGGGCGTGCAAATAATTATATTAAATCTTTCAACAAGGTAATACTATCTTTAAGGTTATCAGGAAGTAAAACTATTACAAACACAACATGTCCTCACCTGAAATCTAAAGTACATAGATGAGATGACTGCTCAGACTAGGCACGAGGTGAATGAAGGTAAATGGATGCTTCATTGTTTGCCATATATATATACTGTATATACTGTATATCACAGCAGAAACACACACACAGCCGTGTCTCCTTGACTTCAGAGACCATTACACTGAATTACATTCATTTACAGGAGACTAATTCTCATTTTAACCATACTTACTACTAAAAATCCTTACCTTACCCTAACTTTATCTTAACCTAAACTTAATGCCTGGATCTCTCTCTCTCACACACACACACACACACACACACACACACACACACAGAGGTGCCTCCTTGAATTCAGAGACCATTACATTGAATTTCATCTGCAGGAGACTTATTCTAACCATGCTAAACTTGCTAAACTCTTACCTTATCCTTAACCTTAACCTAACTTAACCTAAATACTGGGCCACACACACACACACACACACACACTGATGGGAGAATGGCTTGTGATCTTTCTCGAATTGTGTGAACTGAGACAGAAATGTGGATCCTCACAGCATCACAGTGTTGTGTCAGTAGTTGTGTATGTTTGAAGTCAGCTCTGACAGGGAGCTACACATGAAGGCTGGATGACGTCAGCAGTGGCTCCAGTCAGTAGAAAGAGAGCATCCTCTCCTCCTCCTCCTCCTCCTCCTCCTCCTCTGATGCTGCTGCTGCTGCTGCTTGTGACACTTGAACGTCTCAGGTAAGAGCTCCACACCGCAGCGCTCACTGTTGCTTCTTATTTCTGACTTCTCAAGTGTTTCGTGCAGACTGGTAGAAACCCATGTTGAAGTTTCTGACCGGCCAGTGGCACTTGTCGCTCCACAGGTGGACCTGTCTCCTCTCGTCTGGCTCTTTTCGGGACTAACATCATGGGGGGATTGGATGCGCTCCGGCAGTTTAATTTGATCAAATGGCTCAGAGAGGAGAGACAGTCGAGGAAACTGATTCTCTTCATTGTCTTCGTGGCCCTGCTGCTGGACAACATGCTGCTCACTGTAGTCGGTAGGTGCTCACACCTCTCACTTTATTTATCTCCTGTTTGTTTGTTTTATTGTCTTTATCCCCCCCCCCCCCCCCCCTCATGCGCAACAGGTAGTCGTTTTCCTCAAGTCGCTCCGGACACGCAGCGCGCAGCAGGACGCGCTCAGAGTCAGAAAATGATGAAGACTCGAATCTGGACTTTCCATTTCAAAAGCACATCAGGTTAAGTGATCAGATATAATCACGTGCTGCGTCCTGCAGCTATAGACACCGTGTAGTGCAAGTATAGGTTAGCAGACAATGAGGATGACTTAAATGTCATAATCCAATTATACCCGTTTGACATCTGCTCTTCCTTGGAATGGATGAACATTACCAGATCAGATTTAACCCAATCCAACTGACACTGGCAGAGAAGTAACATGTAATATGATAGGACTTTCTCTATCTCTAGTAAATGTAAGAGGACCCAGTTGCTAGTAGCCTATAATAGCTGACCCCTGTGGCTTTAAATTAACTTTTGTAATTCTTCGGCAAAAATATAATTCGTCATCACGCCATATCATTTCTGAATCCACACATCAAACCCTGTTAATGTCTTTAATGCAATGTTTATTTCCCCGTGATAACACCAGACCCACATAAATCAAGGTTTCCCCCTTGATGTCAGAAACCATTACATGACTATCTTGTTGTTGGGGTCGAGACTTTCTTTCGGGTTCAGAATATTTTCGGGTCGGAATTAGGACTCAGAGTATTTAGATTTGGCTTTAAATTTGGTAGAAGTAAACGGAAAATGAACGGGCTGCAAAACACTCCTCTAGCACTTTTTTGGGAACTGTTTATTCAATTGTGTGGCAGCAGTGTCATGTATAAAATCCTGCGGATGCTCTTTAGGAGCTTCAGTTAAAATTCACATCAAATATCAGACGGGAGAAAACATGTGATCCCAGTGACTCTGACTGTATGTGACGTGATTGCTGGTTTGAGTGTTTCTGAAACTGGTTCCACTCCTGTCAGCCAGGAACAGAACTGTGAGGCTGCAGTGACAGACTCACCAACACTGGACAGTTGGAGCCAGGTCTGATGAATGTGGATTTCTGCTGAGGCAGGTTTCAATGTCACAGTCTGAGTGTTGATCATGTTCATCCCTTTATGACCCCAGTTTTATGAACATGAGTTCAGTTTACTCCACTGACCCCCTTTGTGATGTGGTAGAGCAGGAGATGTGATGCAGTCACGTCAACATGGAGCAGAATCTCAGAGGAGCGTTTCCATCTTGAGGAACGAACGAAACGAAAAGCTGAGGCTGTTTGAGATCAGAGGGAGGAACAAGGGAGTTCCTAATAAAGTGCTCAGTGCATTTAAAGGATTTCAGACTACTGATGAAAAACTAACTCAGCAGCTTGTTGTATGACCCACGTTATGGTTTATTGTCAGATGACCTGTAGCAGCTTTAGTGAATATGATAAAGGAGGAAGTCAGGTGACGTAGCAGACAAAGTCCATACTCGGATGAGTTGAGGAAAAAGAGTCATGTTCGATTCCCGCGTGACACCAACTGGAAAAGTTATTTCTTTTATCCATGAAAACGAACCTTTAGCCCTAATGTATTTTCAATGATGTATATATTATTCCTCAAACTAGCCAAGTAGTTTTTGTGACTAAACCTCACTAAACTGTGACTGTTCCACAACCATAATCACAACCGATAATTTCATTTGGACTGATTGAAACGATTCTCTGTCATTAACCAGCCCGTCTTCCTAAATCCACCCTGCCAGTGCTCTCACTGCGCAAGACCAGGGTCTTCTCTCGCTGACGCAGAGACTATAATCAGAAGTAAGGGAGTACGTCATCTTCCGGCAGTTGTCTGTCAGTGTGCGTTCAGGTGTTTTGGTCGTGTCACTTTGACATGAGGCGTGATGGGAGTGGGTGGTGTCTGGGTTCTTGCTAGCTTTTGCTGAATGGCTGAACATCCTAAGCCAGCGCCGCCAGCATCCATGTCTACATGTTCCAGTGTGAATCTGATCCAGACTGTGAGAGGGAACAAGGTTAAACAAACAAAGATTACAGCAGGATGTCTGAGTTCAGTGAATTTCACATATTTTACCTGCTTATTGTGCAACACAACAGTGAATATATTCTTTCAATCGCTATTTGTACTGAAACAATTGTCTACATATGACGAAGTGGAAAACGTCTGCTGTCAGGAAATACTAAAGCTAATTTTTTACTAAAATGTTATTCCGGTCTGTGATAAAGCTGCACTGGCAGTTATTTTTCTGCTTGAATGCATTAAATGTCTGTAATACAATTCCAGTAGACTGTTATGGGAGAACGAGCCGTGCTTGAAGCAGATGATTGTACAAAGAATCTGGTACGAGCTGAAATAAACTCGTACTGGAAGTAGAAAAAAAACCCTGGAGCGAGTATCAGAGTTGATATCTGAGTTTCTGTCTCAAAATTAATTTTAAAATATATTTGCGGCATTATTTAAAACTTTGTTTAATATGGACGTCAATACTGTAACATCACATATATGACAGAAAATAAGGAAAATCATGATGGG